CTCCTCTGGCCGGCTGGCCCGACAGTGGGCTTCTCCCCACCGGGAAGGAGGCTGCCTGGAGCTCCTGCAGGACAGCAATTGCCCTTAACCAGGATGCCAAGCGTCACCCCTGCACCAAACCAGAGTCTGCCAGAGAGGGCAGAGGAGGAGGGCTTGAAGGGCACACCGTCCGGAGAAGGAGGAGGGGGAAAGGCCGCCGGGGCAAGTCCCGGCTGGCTTCCCCGGGCCGTGGAGAACAGAGACTTGTTGTGGTGGGGAAGCAGGCGGGAGGCACCTTCCCTCATTGGGTTTCCCCAGGGCCAGGGGCCAAGGGAGGGGGTTCAATGCCAGCCGGCCTCAGAGCTAAGTGGTGCGGGACTAGCTGCCATCCGGACCTGCCCCCCTGCCGCCGCCGAGTCCAGAGCCGACCCCACGGAGCTGGCGAGATCGATGGGAGAAGATGGGGCCAGCCACCGGGGCCCTCCAGGCCCGCCCCCCAATGTTCCCTCTAAGCTGAGTTAGTGTGAGCTAGCTCACACTAACTCAGCTTAGAGGGAACACTGCCGCCCCCCATGTTGGGACCTGGCAGAGCTTCAGCCGGTGCTGCCCGGGGCAGAGCACTCCCTCCTCTCCCTCCCAGTGGACGAAAGAGCTGCCTCCTGGCTCCGTAGCTGAAGCCCCCGCCAGTCCTGTCACCCACCGGGAAGGGCAGCCTGGCTGGGCCTGACCCGGGCAGGGGCAAGGCTAGCTTGTGGCGCCTGGTGCCCCCCCTCCCAGGTGTGTTTCTGGGAGGTTTTCAGGCCCCACTGGGAGGTTGGCATCGCCTGTGGGTGCCACAAGCTGGCCTTGCCTAGGGCACAGAAACACCTTGGGCTGGCCCTGTCCAGAGGGAGGCAGTCCTTCAGGCATCCTGTCCCCAGGTTGTTAGGGCCTTAAAGGTAAGAGCCAGCACTTTGAATTGTGCGTGGAAACAGATGGGTAACCACTGCCAGTGTAGCTTTCAGCACTTGAGTAATATGATCCCTGTAACCAGTCCCTGACAATAGTCAGACTGCTGCATTTTGGACCAGTTGAAGTTTTCAGACCATTTTCAAAGGCAGCCCCATGTAGAGCAACTTACAGTGATCCAAGTTAGCTGTATTTAGAGTATGAGTCAAAGTAGCCAAACCTTGTCTTTTGGGAACAGTCATAGATGGTTTACCAGCTAAAGTCTATAGATGCTACATGCCATGGAGAAGACCTGAGCTTCCAACTGTAGACCAGGATCCAGTAGCACCCCCAAGCTACAGACCAGCTTATTCAGGGACAGTGGAACCCCCTCTAAGACAAGCTGGCTCCACAGTCACCAAGCAGCTTCTCCACTGACCAACAGAACCTCAATATTGTCGGGACTGAACTTCAGTTTATTGGCCTTCATCTGTCCCAGTATCTTCTCCAGGTACCTTTTTAGGACTTCCACAGACTGTGTGGTTTTGCTGCTAAGGAGAAATGGAGCTGGGTGTCATCCACATACTGGTGGTACCTCACTCCAAATCCCCACATGACCTCTCCCAGCACTTTCATGTAGATGTTAAATAGCATGGGGGACAAGATGGAACCCTGCAGGACCCCACAGTATAAATGCCACAGGCCAAGCAGCATTCCCCAAGCACTAACATCTAGAACCTGCCAATCAAGTAAGAGCTTAAACCACTGAAAAGTCCAGGAGAATCAACAGGGACAGATTCCCTTGTCACTCTCCCAGCAAAGGTCATCAGTCTGTGCAACCAAGGCCATTTCTTTTGCAAACCCAGGCTTTAATCCAGATTGAAATGGGTCTAGATAATCTGTCTCTTCCTGAAGCTGTGCTGCCACTACCCATTCAAGCACCTTGTCCAAAAATGGAATGTTAGCCACTGGGCGGTAGTTGTTTGGGTCATCTGGGTCCAGAATTCAATTGTCTTGAATTCACGCAAGCTGATTTGAACGTTCTTCCTCCTAATCCCAGGCACATGAGAAGGCTGATTGTGTTTATTCAGTGAGGAGGGAATGTCACTCTGCTCATGGAGACTGTACTCTTTAGTTTCTAGTGTGGAGTTCTGGTATAAAAACTGTTCCCAGAGCTGAACCATGAACTCAAATGAATGTTGGATTTTGTACCATTTGAAAATGTCTGGGAGCCTGAATTGAAGAGGTTACCTGAAGTTTTATGCTCTCCAGAATGTATTTGATGCAGAAAAGTGAAGGGCTACATCTAACCTTTATGGCACGTGAGGGTTGGACTGCTGAAGAATTGGTTAAAAATTTCCACTCTGTAGGAGACTAATACAGTAGTTAAGACATTTTTGGCGCTATGATGTAACATCTCTTGCTTTACTGTAAATGACTGTGGGGCTTTGCAATCGCTGCCTGTTTTTCAAATGAAGTGCTGTAATCTTCAGTACACTGAATTTTCTGTGAAGTTAGCACATTTGCCCCTTAATTCAGAACATTTCACAACATGTCCACCTAGTAATCACCTATGATGTAATGAATGGTTCAGTTTCCACTTCCTTTTATTTTTAGCCAGTTTTGCCAAGCGGAAAGTTTTGTTCCCTCTGTGCTGGAGAACAGTGACTGTCCCACTTCTACTGTTATAGTAAAATAATATATGGCTGCCATGGGAACCCACTGGACAATGCCTCTGACAACAGTAGCTATGAGTAATTCTTTGTAAAGAGCATGTACATGTCTACTATTTATCACATAACACTTTATAAAGAAAAAAAGTACTAAGCACCCTGCTTCACCCAGCAGCATCCTAGTAACTTTTAAAACCTTATTCTTCATTGAACAGTGTTCTCCTCCTCTCTAGCACATTCAGTTGCCCCCCCCTAGAAATGAAAGCACTTGGGGTGAAAGTATAACTATTGGATTGAACAGAAATATGATGCAGGACTCATGAGGCTCTGTGCCATTTTTTACACAACAAAGCAAGTGAGGAAAGACAGAAGCTGTGAAATGGCAGGAATTTAACCCCAATAAAAATATTTCAGATGATCTATGCATTGACAAATCTCAAAGGGATGTGTGTGTTAATGGGCGTTGAAGTTGTAGTCTTCATATCAGATGGCGTATCCTTAGTTGCCAGTAATATACAAGGCTCTTTTATAAAAAACACATGCACTGAATTGCAATGAGAATCCCTTCCATGTATAAGAATATACACTTTCTCCCTTCTGTCTTTCTTTACCAGTCACATAGACATAGTAATCAAAAACTGCATAGCAGCTAAGATGAAGACTGCATGCTCATGAAAAGTTAAACACTTCATGCATGTAACTGAGAGGGAAACAATTCCTTTTGTTGTCGCCTGCTGTTATTGCTGACAAAATTAGCACCCTATTATATTTCTTATCTTAAAGGCATTCTAGAAAGAGGAAGTATGGGAAAGCTAAGTGCATCTACAACTAGGATTCCACAGAAAAGCCACCATAGCCAATCTCCACCTATGGTTGCACGTTAATATATATATCTAATTCCCAAATGTGCCCCCATTAGTGGATATTTGAATCCGCAGATATGAGGCACACTTGCCCTAACACATGTTTTGACAAACTTGGGGGACCCCCTATTTTTGAAAAAAAATCCAAAAATTTAAAAACACACACAGACATTGAGGGATTTAAACTTTCCCCTGAAAAAAAAAAACCTGAATAAAAACCTTACCTTTAACAGTCCTGGAGGCTCTTGCCTGGAGCCATGCCAGGTGAGCCACAGAGAGCAGTGGGGGAGGAGAGACTGTTGGCTCACCTGGAGCTCTTCCAAGTGAGTCACAGAGAGTGGCGGGGGGAGGGGGAGGAAGACTCTGCTGGCTCACCTGGATGAGCTGCCAAGAGCGGCTATGGGGGGACCATCAGGGGGTGCAGAGGGAAAAAGAGAGTGCTGGGGTAGAGGGGCAGAGAGAGTGATGCAGTGGGGGCAGAGATAAAAAGAAAGTGACTGGAGGAGGGGAAGAATGATAGGGTACGCGGCAGAGTGTGACAGGCATAGGGCAGAGGGTAAGAGATGGGGTGACAAGATGGAGAAAGAGTGAGAGGCAGAAAAGTAGGGGGAGAGGGGAGCAAACGAAGGGGGAAGAAATGCCCCCTCCCCACACATTTCTTGTGGGTCCTCACTTGTTCTACGATAACTGCATACAAGTAGCATGTCCCATTTTGGGGTTATCTGTTAGACATGTCCCACTGTAGTACTATATGAAGTCCTCCTTCTCAGGGAGTACTTTACAATTCAATGACTGAAGTGCTCTCTCATTAATATAAAATTTTGTTATGCTTTAATTTTTAGCAGAACATCCTTCTGATGCATACATAGGAGAAAGTAGGTCTACCAATTTTATGGAGTAAGTAGATCTACCTAAGCACAGTAATCATAGATGGACCTGCTACCTTGACTGAAAAGGAGTCACCTTTTCAACTGATGGAGTTTTTTGTGTGCATAAGTACTCTACCCCCATAAGCAATCACTGGATAGGTACACTCAACTTGATCGGCACTGGTGTGAAAAGACCAAATCCTATGACCTACTGGAACTTTAAGGATGCATCAACAAATACATTAATACTAACAAGGAGATAAGGCAAGTGAATACAAATGCTACTTGTTTAATAAGTTTTAATAAAATTAATTTTAAACAACACACTGTACATTTAAATTTTCAGTCAATCTCAGATAAAAAATAAGCTTCTTACAAATTACATTTTTTCAGTGAACTTTTTTGGCAGTAAAAATAGCTGCTACATATCTTTCTCTTGTTTGATTCAAAGAAGTCAGAATTATTTCCAAAAATAGAATTCATACTTTAATCAAGATAATTTGTTATGGATGAAGGCAGGGGTGAGGAGCTATTAACTGAAAAAGGGATGTATATATTTTTTTTAAAAATGGACATGCACAGAAGTGAAAGAAATATGCCATTAATAAATATTTTAAACAACATTTTCAGTCAGAGGATAAATCAAAAAGGATCTTTCTGCCCCAGAACATAGTATTAGTCTCGGGGGGGGGGGGGGGGGCTATCATGGAGTTTGTCAGCCACAATTAACCAACGGATTAAATACTTTCAGGACGTTGTAAGTGCTGCTGTTCCAAAAATGAAACATTTAATTTCTTCCTCTTTCAGATGCTTACATTAGCTTAAATTACAGTATTAAATAGGAGCATTAAATTGCCAGAGCATCATATGACCGTGCTTTTATATATATATCTACACACACACACACATATCCACACATACACACCAATTTTGAAATGGTATGATTTTCCCCTGCTTGTGAGGGATCTCTTCCATTGTTTCACTAGCTTTGACAAAAAGGTTTGAGGCTACACAACTTGTTTTTGTATAATGATAAAAAATATACTTAAGAGAATGCCCAATGCAATGTCATCTCACTACCTGTTTTTTAAAAGGGTATCTAGCCTTTTGTCTTAATCATACACGTCCCCACAAGTAACATCTGTCAGGCTGCTACTGTAGGGTGGTGGGTTTTTTTTCTTTTGAGTTAGAAATGCTGATGGCTTATCAGCCTTTGGTATGGGCAATACCCCTAATTACATGGCAGTGTGAAAAAACCAGTCCACTACACCCTGGAGAACTTTCATATCTTCAGAGTACAGCTGGGAACTGTGCTGACCTCCAAGCTGCTCAAAGCGACTGATACAGCAAGATCTGGAGCTATTGTGCCTAACGCAGTAAGGCCACTTCTCTTTCCTTCTACATCTCCTCATTTCAGAATTACTTCAAGGTCCGTCACAGTTGCACCACTCCAAACAGTCAGTAGATAAAACCAGTGACTGCAGTAGAGGGTCCCAGTTCACAGTTTGCGTGTTCTCACGTAGTTTGTCAAAGTTACACAAGATTGCAATGTTCAGTCTTCTGTGTCTGGCTGCACTCCTAACATGGCATGAAGCTCTTCTGCTGTATATCCCAACAGGTTCTGTAGGTCACATACAAAACGGTATACATAACGTTTCCCTGAAGTCTTGTGAATGATGTTCTTGTCATAATAATAGCGCAGGCCACGGCTCAGCTTCTCATAATTCATTTTGGGCTTGTTTTTCCTTCTGCCCCACCGCCGTGCAACCTTAAGACAAAGCAGGAAAAATTAGTTAGTTAGTAATACACAGTAAAATCTGTGCATATTAAGTAGTTTGCAGTGGAGTTCTAAACGCCATGACCTTCAAGCATCTTTACTCATGTATGTACTAATGCCAACTATAAACAACAACTGTGATATTAGCTCAAAACTGAAAGGTGGAAGTCCAGCCCCTGAAAACGTAATAAAAGCATAAGAAGAGCCCTGCTAGATCAGACTAGTGGTCCATCTAGTCCAGCATCCTGTCTCACTCAGTGGCCAACCAGTTCCTGGATGGCCAACAACATTTCTAAGGCATTTCTAAGACCAGGGAAAAGATTTAATCTCTGGCTTCTGAAGTACTTCAGAAATAAAAACTTCAAGTAATATTAAAACAAAAATATATCTGAAGAGAAGTCTGAGAGATTTAGCTATTATCCTGAAACATTTTTATAAATAGAACTTGAAGCACGGCAACCACTTGATGCCCAAAGGAACTTGTGGGTCTCCAAAGAGCAGTGATCCTGTCTTGTCTCAGAGGTATTCTATCTTTACAATGAATCTTACGTGAAGTCTAAGGAATGCTGTAATTTAAATACTACAATAAAAATAGTTTTCATATGATTGGTTAATGGAGGACACAAACGACATCAGTCTAGATTACTGCTCAACTAAGCAAAAAAAAGGTAACCGAAACCATGATTACACACCATTAGGTTACTTCTTATACCAGTGGACAGAGTTCATGAGAACAAGATATCAGATGCCCTCACAGAATAGGAATCATGCCTGCTGTATTCAGGACAACTGAACTACATACCTCATCTGGATCAGCTAGTTTAAATTCCCATCCATCTCCAGTCCAGCTAATGAATGACTGACAAGATTTGTCAGTTAGAAGCTCCAGAAGAAACTGCCACAGTTGTATAGGCCCACTACCTGTCAATACCAAGATAAAGAGTTATTAGAAATGTTCTGAACACACAATAATGAATAGCTTTCTATGCAAAGGAAACTAGCTCTCAGAACTCATTTATTATAAAGTATGTTTTTATTTAAAAGTCTTTCTGGTGACAGAAAAACCTGGTAACAGAAGTATTAGGGATGGGGGAAAAATAAATTGTAGGAATTCCTTACAACACCTGAAAGGACCATTTTAGAGTTCAAAGCTGCAGTTTGAAAGCAGCTCTACAGACTGATGCAAACAAAACGTTCTGTAGGGTTTAGCTTTAAAACCTTCTCTACCTGAATGAACAGAATCTGACTAGAAATAGAATTTCAGAAAGCTTTTGCTGATTTGTGTTTTTTTTTAATAAAGATTTTTATTAACTCCCCTAAAAAGGGGAGGTATTTCACTTAAAAGAAGAAATGGGAAGGGTAGACAGTGAGAGAAAGAAAAAGCTGAGTGATATATAAACTGGTAAATTAAACTGTTAGTAATGTCCAATTAATCTTCTAAAGCTTCTTCTGTGTGTTGTCAAACTTCTTTTCTTGGTCCGGTCACATGTAATTCTCTGTTAGTATGTTAGTAATGTTCCTTTGAATTTCTGTTAAAAAAAACTCTTCTGGGCGCATTCAGAACCGCTTCTTTGCGTGCTTGGTACTTTTACTATCACTGACGTGGAATCCTCCTCGCAACTGTTGACTTGTATAAGTGCTTGCCAGGCACTCCTCGCTGTCACAGTTCAAACTTTTCCGTTTTACAAAAATCCCGTCAGATTCACAGCCATAAACAGTCCAAACATTAAGCAGCCGGCTCTCACACACAAGCAAACGCCCAGACGGAAGTCCCTCCCTTCTTCTCCGCTTGCCTTTGCCCAGCTCCGACATCTTTTTTTTATTGTTTATTTTCAATAAAGTTCTTAAAATGCGCTCCAGAGAAACAAAACTTTTTCTTGCTTTATTTCAAATACATCAAAGGAAAACACCACTATTCGCTCAGTCCATTCCCCCCCTCCTTTTCTTTTTCGCTTGTACAAATAGAGGGTTAACCTCCTCGCCTTTTTCGCTGGGGGGGGGGAAGCGTTTTTAGTTCTTTTTCTCTGCATTTTGACAACTCACAGTTAAGCCGATCTTTTCTTTTTCCCTTTTTTTCCCGGATGATCGCTTTATCACTCGGTGATGTCTGGTGGCTCCGCTAAACCCCGAACGGGGTCGCTCACGCAGCAAGGTCCATTGGAGCAGGGCATGGCAGAAGCCTCGGTCTCCGACCTCCTGGCCGAAAAAGAGACTCCCCCCTAGTGCGCCCTAAAGTGCCCCGGATCCGAGCTCCTCTCTTCCTGAGGGGCTCGTTCGGGTCTCCGCTCGCACGGATTTCCTCCTCCACCGCGGGCGGGCGAGACGCCCTCGGGAGCGACCCGAGGATGCGTCCGCCATTCGCGGGAGCCAGACCGGAAGCCAGCTTTTGCTGATTTGTTGAATTATCTGATTTTACATGCCTTTGATACACACAGATAAGGATGTAACATACTGGTTTTAATTCTTTGTTTGCTTTTATTTATTTTACATATTAATCCTCATTTGCAGTAATTCAGTGATCGGACCCTCAGCTGGTTGTATTCCACTTATATTCAGTAAGTGTTGACCCATCAACATGCATTCTCAGGGCACATTATGTAATTAGTTGAAAAAAAGGGGAAACAGACTCAAAGGCAAAAAAGAATTGGAAAAGTATGTAAACACTTGCCTGTAAACCCTGCGAGAATTGCTGCTGGTATAACTGGTTTCCCCTGTTCAACAGGGTCACTCCTTTCCTGAATGTAGTCCTTAAAGGACATTGTGGGTTTATTCAGACACAGTGACTGGCTGCAGTCTTCTTCAAAACTCTCGTAAGATGGCACACGTTGAACATCCACTAAGGAGGACTGGCTGTTCCAAGAGTGTAGCAGTGAATCTAAGCCTTCATAACTTTCTGTGCCATTATCACTTGAATCATGATTGTCTCTAGGTTTATCTTAAAGGAGGGGAAAACACCAATAAGTAAAGGAGGATTTTGCTCAGATTTTTTCCTTAATATATTAACAGTACAGGAAACTGGATTTTGAGGACAGTTAACTACTCAGAATGGAAGTACCAAGACAGGGAAAATGAAATTCTACTTGCACACCCGCTTCACAAAGTAATGAAACTAACTAGTTTACAAACAACGTTATATAAATCATGAAAACAACATGTTACTGGGGCTGCATGCTACCACAATTCATGAATTCATCCATTTAAGGCAGTTTAGTCTAATGGTGGTCACTAATACTAGTTTAAATTTTTATTTATTTTTAGAACACTTGAACATTTTCTGCTTTACAAACAGCAACATATGAAACTTAACATCAGGCCAATGAAACCCTAATGGAAGTTCCTCAAAAGATTCTTCTCTATTTCCCTAATTTTACAATTAATGCTTTGTGGCTAAGTGTAATAGGAGTGAAGTGGGGTGCTGAACTGGAAAAGGAATGGTTCCTGCAATTTTGAATATGTATAGTAACTTCAGTATACTTTAGCAGTTTTGTTGCACTGTTGGTATTTAGTACTAGAACATTTCTATGCTATACCATTCTTATAAACAGGTGTTAACATGTAAAAGATCATATAAATCTTACCAGTGTTATCTAACATTAAATTCAAATTGTTTCTTGTGAAGTCCTGATTTGCAGAGCAGTAGCTCACATTGAGTGCTTCTAGCTGTGCTTTAGGAAACATCTGAAATTCTTGTTCTGGGTTAACTATATTTGGTCCAACAGACAAATCACCCAGAAGGCCATTTTTTTGATAGTTAAGAGTTTTAGGATAGCTGGGCACTTGAGCACAATACTGTGCCTGCTCCATGTTACCGCCTGAAAAACAAATGCATGTTTTTGATTAGTCTCTGCCACAGATACTAGTACTGTACTTTTTATGCAGCATAGAAACGCATGGAAAGTCGGAAAAATACTAACACACACACACCCCAGTTGAAACTTACACCACTTAGTGGAGTAAACCCTACTGATATTTATGATCTTCCCACTTGTTTCCACACAAGCCCATCATGTCTGTATGCCATGGCCCTTATAAACTACACAGGGTTTAAGTATTTTTATAATTTTGGAAAAGTAAGCCAGATGAAACAGTAATGTGACCTAGTGCTATTTCTTGTTCTTGTATAGAGTATAATGATATTAACAATTAAAGTTTAGCACCTTTGGTGAAGAGAGCATAGTAATTATTATGTTTTTATAAAGGTATGAGTCTCCATGATTTCTACACTAATTTCCTGCAATTACCACATGTTTCAAAGCATCTCAAAGCTGATTCTGGATTTAGTTCATCACTAATTTAAAGCCAAATGCTTTATCAATCACTACAACTAGGTTTCCTTACTGTCTGCTTTAATATCAACTGTACCCAAATTGGTCACTATCTGGAAAAAAGTTAATACAGACAATACTTATTTCTTATGTTCTAACCAACACATATGAATAAAATGTATGCAACTAAAGGAGGATATATATGCTGTATTATTTATTTATTCATTTATTTCATTAGGCTTCTATCCTGCCCTCCCTGTAGATACCCTGACTGATTAAGCCCAATTCAAAATCCCTGAACATATTATGTCAAAAAGGCACTCTCTGCAGACAATTTGTATTTTGTTTTGGTGTAGAATATATGCAGCCCCATATTTGTTTTCTTTACGACAGTTATGAAATTAGAAACCCAATGATATCCAAAGAATATTCAATGCCTTGAATTCAAAGGTGCTCTTCCATAGGTGAAAGATGCCACTCACACAAAAGCTGTTTTATTCTTTACACTAGAGTGTTGTGTGATGAAACAAAATTAAAAAAAACATTGTTCCACTTGTGAAAGAGCTTGAAACAGCATGAAAACTACTATAGAACCTTGCTCTTAAAGCACGCTCAAACTCTGGTACATGTGTTTTGTAGAACAGTGCTAGTGGCTATTTTCTTCCCACTTGTGCTTCCTCCAGTTCAATCCAGTATCTCTACTTTTAACATAACTTACCTAATGAATTGTTGTTGACCCAGTGAGGAGATGAAGTGAAATGAGAGTTTTCCAAATACTGATCCTGAGGTTTCTCTTGATTATCTGAAAACAGGACAAGCATTTATTTTTGTACATTTGGGCAGGTGACTTTGCTTATGCATTAAAGAATTCATGTAATCTGTATCACAGAAATACAAGAGGGTTTCATAGAATTATGCTTTGTCCAGTCTTTCCAGACTAACAAAATTGTTGGCAGGATAAGTAAGATCGGACTGCTTTGTCCAGTCTTTCCAGACTGACAGAATTGTTGGCAGGATAAGTAAGATCGGACTGCAACCTAACTTGGGACACAATTCAACCATTCAACCACAGTTAGTTAGTATGTTCCACTGATTTCAATGGAAGAGAATTAAGTGTGGCTAACAATGCTTAGCTCACTTTTTTATGATATGTATATGGATGTGGATAGCTTCCTAGAAGCCAAAAGTATACTAGTGTTACTTTGTATAAAATATATAAATGAGATTGCACCAAAAACAAAGCCAGCTATAGCTAGTACCTTTGGGTAACTTAAAAAAAATACTTTATGATTTTATAACAGGTATTTCAAAATTTGTTTCGATTTCTACAGATTTATTCTTTCCCTCCCTATCTGCATCCAAGATATTGACATTACTTTGATCTGGCTGATTTACCTTTTATCATCTGGTCCAGATGTTCCCACAGAATGTCACCCACATAATCAGGTGCAAGTTCCAAGAAGTGTTCTTTTCCCAAGTTGCACAACTCCTGGCCATTCATGGCAAACCTCTCAAAGTTCATATTTGCCAAACTAAATTCATTGGCAGCCCAGAGAAGCCACTGAGACACCTGCTGCTGAGTCCATAACCACGGATCTATGGGAGAATAATAAACATTATGAGAAGGTAGTAAAAAACCATATCTTTCAGCCAGAGGCTACAGTTTGCGTTTACTGGCTCTTATCCCATTTATTACCACAGACATTCAAACATTCTTATACTAAGAAACACTTCCTAAACTCAACTTACGTCTAACTATGGCTAGAATACTAGATACACTCAACCTAACAACAAATCCTATTAAGGTAAATGAAGCTTTCTTACAAGTAGTTTGTTTAAGATTAGTATATAACATAGCAAAGAGTATAGCTTTGTTTATCAACAATAAAACTATAGGGTAGTTCTGATTTTTAAAGTGGGCCTTGTAGGGAA